CAGACAGCCTGGATTCAAGTTCAGAAAGCCTAACAACCTCTTTAATGGACAACATTCTCCATGAAATACATAGGTGATACAACTTAGAATAAACATGTTCAGAAGGCTTGTCTCTTTTGTTGTGAAAGGTTAAAAGATAGCTTGCCGAAAAACATTATCTCCCAGGTTAGTATAAAATAGAAGACTTTTTGGGCCGACTGAGTGACTCAGTTGGTTAAGTTAGCTTAAGAGCGCGAGCTCTGAGCATCAGGGCCGCCGGTTCAATTCCCACATGGGCCAGTAATGCTGTGCCTGAGCTGAGCTGCTGCTGAGCTGCCAACAGGTGGCAGGATGGCTCAGCTGGTGAGAGCACATGCTCCTAACAACATGGTGGGCTATGCCCACCCACAACTAAGACTGAACTCGGCATCTTGAGCTGAGCTACTGCCTGGATGGCTCACTGGATAAAGCGTGTGCTCTTAACAATAAGGCTGCTGGTTCGACTCCCACATGGGATGGTGGCTACACCCACCCGCAACTAAGATTGTAACACAGCACCTTGAGCTTAAAGGCCACGAGCTGCCGACAGGCAACCAGATGGCGACTGGCGCCCTCCACAATTAAGATTGAAGAACAACAACTTGGCTGGTCCCCCTCAATTCCCCAACACTGTTCCCCTCCCCCAATTCCCCAATTAAGAAAAAAAAGACTTTCTGCCTTTGACTTCACTGTTGCCAGATGATATGACTGAATCATAACCAGGTAATTCTTGCATTCTGTATTCTTATAGAAGTTCAACTTTCTAAGCCAAAGCTCTTTCGAAGGCCAAGTAGAAATACTTGATACTCCACTATATCAAATTACCTTAAAAAAATGAGACTTTGATTTTAAGATAGAGTTGTAATTCACTAAGCTCAGATGTAAGAGTTATTAAAATATCTCTCAATGTATTTATTTAAAAACTTAGGGCAGGCCAAGTGGCTCAGTTGGTTAAGAGTTAGCTTAAGAGCGCGAGCTCTGAGCAACAGGGCCGCCGGTTCAATTCCCACATGAGCCAGTGATGCTGCACCCGAGCTGAGCTGCTGCTGATCTGGTGAGAGCACATGCTCCTAACAACAAGACTGCCTGTTTGATGGTGGGCTACACCCGCCCGCAATTAAGACTGAACACAGTACCTTGAGCTGAGTGGCCACTAGCTGCCCACTGGCGGCAAGATGGAGACTGGACTTGGGAGCTGAGCTAGCTGCGTCCTCCACAACTAAGACTGAAGAACAACAACTTGGCTTCTCCCCCTCCCCAGTTCCCCAACTACAAAAAATAAAAAATAAAAATAAAATAAAAACTTAGATCATATTTTGTTGAGAATAAGAATATGGGTTTTGGGCCGGCCAAGTGGCGCATTGATTAAGAGCTGGCTTGGGATGCCAGAGAGCCCCGGTTCGGATCCCACATATGACGGCCAGTGACACTGCCCTCTACAGCTAAGATGCTGAACAATAGCTCGACCTGGAGCTGAGCTGCCGTGAGTCACCAGCATTGGTGTAGGCTGCAGCCCCTGCAGCAGTGGGTTGCCATGGGCTATGGTGTGTAGCCAGCAGCCAGCGTGAGCGGCCAGCAGCTGCTGTGAGTGGCGTCCAGAAGCCGGCGACTGACCTGCCTCACCCGGGAAGAGCTCAACAATGGTGCCAACTTGGGTCAGTAAAGTAATGTCCTCCACAACTAGACTGAAGAACAAAAGGACAGCAACTTGTCTGTTCCCCTTCCCCCAATTCTCCAATAAAAATCTTAAAAAAAAAAAAAAAAGAATATGGGTTCTGATGGGAACCCCTTTATCCCTGGCAGAACTACATTACTTATACTATATAACGATCATCTTAGTTAAAAAATACTTTTTTGTTCATTAGATTTTTGCTATTATTATTGAAAGGTAGTATAATAAGCGATACATACTGTATAATTAGCAAAGCGTAATCTTTTGGGTAATCATATAGCCCCCTTCCAAAACAAAAGTATTTCAGTATACAGATATGTGATTTATTCACAAGTTTTACAAAACACAATTAATGCAGTTAATATTTTCATTTTAAGTACTATTCACTCTTAAGCAAAATGCAGAAGGAAAGACATAGGCAAGTATAATTTACAAGATACTGTTTTAGCTACCATCTACTATAATGCAAAAGAGCGGTCTTGCTTTAAATTATGGCCATCAACCATTAATTAAGGGCAATAAAAAGTACTGTCGAGTCCTAAGCACAAAACTGGGGAACATCCTGTAGAAACATTGACTGCAACGAAAGATGGCATCGTTCTTCAAAAGGGCTTCACAAAATCTCGAGAAAAACACATTAAACCTTTAATAAACTTTCACTAATAATGTTAATTCACTCTTTATCCAAAGCAACAAGCTAGTAAAGAGTAAATGGCAACATTGAAATAAGAAGCTATCATCTACTACAGTATTTTTAGTTTCCCCCTTTCCCTAGGCACCGTCGCCACCTCCCCCAAATAACTACTTTTGTCAGCAGCAGCATAATCCGTCTTCCACAGAATAGCCTAATCCACGGTTCTGGCCTGGGCCGGCCTGATCTGTAAAACACAAATCAGGCTAAAACCAGACACCAGGGTTCTCAATATCCTTGGGAGAGGGAAAAAGCTGCCCACATTAGGCACTGGGAGGAGATGGGGATTATTCGCAGATTGCGTCCTACACCAAGCTCCACACCACTCGCACTCCTCACCGATCGTGTCCACGCGGTGCGTGAGTAGCAGAGTCCGGGATCCGCACCGAGCGGCAGCAGCAGCTGCCTCGGTCCCGGCATGTCCTCCGCCGATGACTACCACGTCGAAGTGCGGAGTCCATGGCGCCGCGCTGTCACCGCTGAACCGGGCCAAAGGAAGGTGCTGTTTGGTGAGGGAAGCCGCAACCCAGCGACCACAACCTCGGAAGCAGAACATGGTTGGAAAAACGCAGAATCTGTCTGACTCTGAACCTAACACAAGCGAGGCGCAAAAACTTAGGGTACGAAGGAAAGTCTTCAGGGCGCAGACATCTTGCTCTGACGTCACGTCGTAGCACCTCTCCGTCCAGCGTCGCCGCTGATTGGCGGTTTGGCGTGACTTTAAAGCTAGACCCGGTAAGGGCGCTGATGGGCTGGGGAGCGGGGGGAAACACGTGTGTACCTGTTTCGTGATTTGTGCAGGCTGTCTGATTATCTGTGGCTATGGATTGGGGTCTCCAACTCGGTCACTTTTTTTGTCCTTTTTGAGGAGTTGCAGCTAATCGCCAGGTGGCCACCTACGAACAATGTTCTTGATCACTTTGCTTGATCAGATATTTTGAATTTTCTGGTGCGATAGCACCTTGAATTTTGTTTGTTTATAAATACTACAGTCTAAATGGGAGTAGATTCAAAAGGAGTTCAAGTACGTTTGTGGATAGAACATTCATGATGGTTAATTAGGGAAATCAAACGGTTGAAGGTAAAATGTAGAGCCTTTTGAATTTTATTTTTAAAGCCTTCCTTAAGAAACTTGTGACTGGTTGGAGTGAAACAACCTTTGCGGGAGTTTTATTCTGATTATTAAAATCTATCAACTACATAATTTTGTTGTCTTATAACATTAATAAATGTTTTATATACACAATTTAAACCTTACAGAAATACAAAACTTTTGAGAGTTAAAGAGCCTATAATTTCCCCGAGACCTTCCAATCCGCACTTCTGTAATCATTGTTAGCATTTTGTTGCAAATACGCCCTAGGGTTGTTTGTTTGTTTTTTTTACAATAGTATTGCTACTATTATTTTGCACATATAATATTGTGATTGTATTGTTTTTCAGTTTGCTTCTTTTTTAGCAATGTACTTTTGACTTTCTCCATTCCAGTATATGTGAATCTATCTCACTTTTTAGTGTTACATAATATTCAATTGTGTATGTGAACCATTATTTAATTGACTCCAATTACTGGGAATTTGGGGTTTCTGATTTTTTTGATATTATGATCATCCTTGTGCATATATCTTTTAAAAGTAATGAGACTCGGCGCCGGCCGCCGCGTGGCTCAGTTGATTACAGCGCGAGCTCTAGGTAACAGGGTTGCCGGTTGGGTTTCCACATGGGCCTGTGAGCTGTGCCCAAGCTGAGCTGCTGCTGAGCTGCCAGTGGGCAGCAGTATGGCTGGAGTGGTGTACTCTTAACAAGGTTGTGGGTTCCACTCCTACATGGGCTGGTGGGCTGTCCCCACCCTCCCTCCCCCCAGCTAGATTGAAAGTGGGGGCTGGACTTGGAGCAGAGCTTACCCCTTCCACAACTAAGATTGAAGGACAACTTGATTTGGAGCTGATGGGTCCTAGAAAAACACAATGTTCCCCTTCCCCAATTCCCCAACACTGTTCCTTTCCCCAACTCCCCAATAAAAATCTTAAAACAAAACAAAAAACTGGCTAGGATTGTTTAAAAAAGTAATCAAAGCATTCTAAACCCAAAGGGATCCTGTCTCCTCTGTATTTCTATAAATGGCTTGGCTTTAGAAAGATATTTTGAAAGCCTGTATTGAGATACTTTGGTACCTCAACTGTGGAAGCAGCATGGATTATTTAAAATGTATCATTTTTTTATGAGCTTTTGAGAACCAATGGATAAAAGTCAAGGATAAGAACTTCAAACGATGTCTCTAATATTGTGCGGGCTTTTAAAAATTCAAAGAAAATAAAATATTTATTTCAATTACAGTCAATCTTCATCCCTTCCCCAAAAGTCGAACATCTTCCATTTCTCTTAATTGAAAAAATACCCTTACTTAAACTTACATGGACAGTTTCTGTCAACTTCAATGGGCGAGACAGCCTATATAGATTTACAAAATTCTTTTAGGCGGTATGCCAGCAAATGCGTCTGGCCTTTACAGCTCCCGGAAAGTGTTTCCTGCCTCCCTCGGTTACATTTTGAGTGGTTCCGAAGCCAGTAGCACCGATTGCACTGAACATTAGCGTCTCTCGCAGGGCGCTGGGCGTTCTGCCCGGTCACCGCGCGGGGCGTGGCTCCTCCTGACCACCTCCCGCGCGTGCTCCCCGGCTTCGTTCCCGCCAGCTTTTTAAGTTTCATTTCCAGCCGCAACGGCTGGTTTCTCTTCCACCCGCCTTTTCCCGAAGCGGAGCAAACTTCCGAGTAGCAGAGAGAGCCAGCCATGGATCCTCGGCGCGGAAAGGCGACGCGGACAGCTTCGAAGGCCGGAGCTGCGGCACCCAAGGTTTCTGCGCCGAGGGCGAAAGGCGCCCTAACGAAGCCCACCGAGTCTCGGGTCGACCCCGAGGATGCCCGGCCCGACGCGCAGAAGTGCGGCTCCACCAGGGCATCGGGATCCCAGCGGAAGAAGAGCGCCCCAGGCCCCCAGGAGAGGCCTGAGGTAGGCGCGCGAAGTGCCAGCTCCACGGGGGCATCGGGATACCAGCGGAAAAAGAGCGCCCCGGGCCCCCAGGAGAGGCCTGAGGTAGGCGCGCGAGGTGCCGGCTCCACGGGGGCATCGGGATACCAGCGGAAGAAGAGCGCCCCGAGCCCCCAGGAGAGGCCTAAGGTAGGCGCGCGAGGTGCCGGCTCCGATAAGGCGCCTCTGAGCGCCGAGGACGCGGTGGATGGGCCGGCGGGTCTGACGGAGGGACCGGAGCCTCCCCTTTCCAGGACTGGATCGCGCCGTGACGGGGGCGCACGCGCCGCTCGGGAGCGGAGACCCCCGCCCGCCCTCACGGAGGTCTCTGACTTCCACTCGCTGGTCCGAGTCCCTAGTCTCTGCCAAGGGAAGGCGGTGTCCATCGGCTGTAAACTCCGGGCGGTGCTGAAGAAGTTGAGGCTGAGCCTCCCGGAAATCTCAGAGGCTGCAAAGATTGTGAACAGGGTTGTGGAGCAACTGCTACAAAGACTGCGAAGCGTTGAGTCGGAGTTCAGAGGTGTGACGCTGCTGAGCACGGGGAGCTACTACGAGCACGTGAAGGTGGGTGAGCTGCCCAGCGCCTGCCCTCCTGTTCCCGCGACTCGTGGGCCGGCTTCCTCTTCCCTCTCTCAGCCTCCCTGATATTCCTCACTTCCCATGGTCCCTCACTTGCCTTTGGAAGTAACTCTGACTCTAGCTTTTTAGTTCTAATTAAAATGACGAACAGTTCTGTTGGTTTATTCATCTCTACATCCAACAAACAGAGCCAACCCATATTGATGGCCAGCTACTGTCAAGACACTGTTGTTGGGGGAATGCAAATGTATTGATTCATTCAAGCAAGCAGATCTGTATTGTGTTTCTGTAACAGTGCTATACTTGATGTTCCCTAGTCAGATTATGACTCGGATGATTAGGAGTGATCTGCAAAAAAAGAAAAAAAATCCATAGAATTAATGTATCTAATAAACTTTTTCCTATGAGGACACCTATACTCTAGGAAAAATATCTTCAGTCTCTCCCTCCAGGCCCGGCAGATTCCCTCTCCCCAATTTCTTTTCTTTTCTTTTTTTTAAATTAGTTTTTAGGTTTTTTTTTGTGTTTTTTTTTAATTGGGGAATTGGGGGAGGGGAACAGTGCTGGGGAATCAGGGGAAGGGGAACAAACAAGTTGCTGTCCTTTTGTTCTTCAGTCTAGTTGTGGAGGATGTTGCTCCCCTGGCCCATGTTGGTATTATCATTGCGCTCTTCCCGGGTGAGGCAGTTTGGTCACCTGCCTCTGGACTGCCGCTCACAGCAGAACTTGGCAGCTCACACGGCTGCTGGCCACACACAGTAGCTTATGGCAGCCCACTGCAGCAGGGGCTGCAGCCTTAGCCATCACAGGCGACTCATGGCAGCCCAACTCCAGGTCGAGCTGTTGTCTACCATCTTAGCTGTAGAGGGCAGTGTCACTGGCCCTCATGTGGGATCCGAACCAGGGCCCTGCTGCACAGAGATGGCATCCCAAGCCAGCTCTTAACCAACGCGCCACTTGGCCGGCCCTCCCCAATTTCTTATATAGATGTTATAGGAAGCTCACAGTGAGTGATGTTAAAATTTTTTTTTTAAGAGAAAATCTGCAGGTACTAAAAAGCATACTTCCTAAATACGTATCAGGTGTAATTTTTAAATGTGTTACAACTCCATTTATTTGTGGGTGGTTGTCATTAAAGTCATCGTTTCAATATAAATGGAAGGTTTAGAAGCAGGTTCCTGACGAGTTGGTTTCCTGACCAGTGGCAGATTTCCCTGGTTGTGTTTTTGCCTAATCTGTCGGTTTCCTAAGCGCTCCATTAGCTCTATGTAAAATCTTGGATGTAGCATCAACAGAAATAAAGGCTGAACAGAATAGAGGCTGATATCTTTAGAGTTATATATTGGCTTTATTCAATTAATTGCTGTCCTCCAGAAAGTAGATAGTGATAAAAATCTAAATTTAGGGTTTTAGCATTATAAGCTCTTAAGAGAGCAGGCCAAATATTATGCATCTTTGTATCTCTAAGCCTTAGTACATAGGAAGCATTCAAATGAATGAATGGTCTCAAAAAGAAAGAATGGGTGATCTCTCAAGACCCTTGCCTTCTCAGGGTAGTAAATTCAGATTTAATTCCCATTTTAAGCATTTAGCCTGGTAGTCTTCAGTGGAGATTAAACCTTTCGTATATTTTTGTTTTGGCTTCCCACAGAGATTGTAAGCTCCATTGTTGCAGTATGTTTTATGCAACTTTGTACCCTGTATAGCTTCTCATTTCATTGATGTGGACATAGCAATATTTGTTTATTGTCAAAAAGGCAGTGTGACTCAGTTTGTTAAGAGTTGGCTTGGGAACGGGAGCTCTGAGCAGCAGGGCCGCCGGTTTGGTTCCCACATGGGCCAGTGATGCTGCGCACTCTACAGGTAAGATGGTGAACAACAGCTTGACCTGGAGTTGGGCTGTCGTGAGTGGCCGGTGGATGAATCTCACAAGCATAATATTGAATAAAAGAAGCCAGGTATAAAAGTACATACTATATGATTCAGTTTATGTGATGTTCCCAAACAGGTAAACCTAATCTATAGTGTTAGAAGTCAGAGTAGTGGCTACTCTTGGTGGAAGGTTTCTATTTTTTTTTTTTTACTAATTTCCTAGAGAGAAGAACATCTCTCTGTACCATTTCAGAGGCTTCTATTTGCTAATTGAGGTAAGCCTCCCATTCCATCTAGTTTGACTTTTAAGCTGGCTTTTTCTAATTATGCACACAAAAATTTAGATGTCAAAAGAGCTCCATTTTGGCCATCTTAAGTTGCTATCACTTCTAGATAAATCTTTCCATGTCTGTAAGTACTTGCAAAACTCCTAGGAACTGTACATCTATCTGCAGGAGATTAATGGTGCTGGAGTTTGGGAGCTTGTCAGCCTTTGAGACATGATTTCCCATGTTAATTTTTAGTTTCCTTTTGAGAGTCTGAACAAATATCTAGTGATATTATGTAGTGGGTTGAAGTGTGCTGTTTATGGGTTGAGCTCCAAGGGGCTGTCACCTCCCAAGTTGCTTCAACCCTCTTACATGCCTCGGTTTCTCTTCCTGGCTTTCTAATATAACCGTGAGGACTCGGAGCGCTAGGTAACCAGCCTTTATGTGTGCGTCCCTGGATGAGTCAAATATTTAATTACACTTGTGTTGGAATTCCCTATGGGGCCACTGCACGTTGAGAAGTACCTTCAAACACCTCCACAAAGATTTTTAGTCACCTAAGAATACCCAAAATTCGAGCTGGAGGGAGTAAATGTCCCTTATCTTCGGAGTTGAACAAGTTCAGACTCTCATTTATCTGGCAAAAAGTTTTGTTCAGACGCGAAGTAACCAATTCCAATTGAAAAGCCAAAAACCAGCCACCCATTTCATTTCTCCTCTCCAAGAGTTACCTTAACTCTTGTCCTTAACCTGGGCCCTGCTACCAAGAGTTACCTTAACTCTTGTCCTTAATCTGGGTTATCTCAACTCTGTCACCTTGAGGATTTTAAAACAGCTCAAATAGAGTCATGGCCTCTTACCTTAAAACAGGGAGGTCCAGAATTCCAAGAAAGACTCACCCAAGTTCACCCGATGTGAAGCAGGGAGCTGGTGGGGCACAATGAGCCCCTGCTCTGCACTGAACCTAGCACTGAATCCAGGTCCACAGGGTGCTCCTGGGTGGGCTTCTTTGGAATCCTGCCCGACTACGTCGTAATGTCGAGAAAAAATATTCAGCCTAAGAGAAAATTTATTGAGCCAAACTGACGACAATTACCGGGAAGCAAAATCTCAGTGGATTGAGAAAATGCTCCCTGGTGGACGGTTTCTAACAGGGAGTGGGGATGAGAGAACTTTGTATGCTGCTGGGGATGGGACTAGGGCAATTTAGAATGCCACAAAGCTCACTGTTCTTACTAAGATTTTGTCATTTTTCTTGAATAAATCTTCCTTGGATTGTTGCAAGCCTTTGGTTTACAGAGTTTTGAAAGGGTTGAGTTTGACTATTTCTGCCCATGTTTCCTGTTGCTTTTATGGAAGGGTGGATTTTCACAGGCTCTTACTTCATGCCCACTGACATAACTTTAAGTGTTTGTTTCACTTTTACAGTATGTCTTAGTTAGCTCAGACTGCCATAACAAAATACCATAGACCGAGTGTGCCTTAAACAGCAGAAATTTATTTTCTCACAGTTCTGGAGGCTGGAAGTCCAAGATAAGAACTCTCTTCCTGGCTCTCAGGTGGCCACCTCCTTCCTATGTCCTCACTGTGTTCCTTGGTTCATGTGTGCAGAGAGAAAGCAATCTTTCTTCCTATTCTTAGAAAGTCACCAATCCTATCAGCTTAGGACCCCATCCTCATGACCTCATTTAACCTTCATTACCTCCTAAAAGCTGTATCTCCAAGTATAGTCAAGTTGGGGGTTAGGGCTTCAGTGTATGAATTTGTGGAGGACAGTTCAGTATACAGCACAGTATATCTCAGTTTGCACTAGCCACATTTCACATGATCAGTAAACGTGGCTACTAGGTACTATGCAGCCCACTAGCTGTACTTAAAGTACTCTCCTAACTAATGAAAGACTTGGAGCTTTTTTAAAAAAAGATTTTATTGGGGAATTGGGGAAGGGAACAGCATTAGGGAATTGGGGAAGGGGAACAGACAAGTTGCTGTCCTTTTGTTCTTTAGTCCAGTTGTGGAGGACGTCACTTCACTGGCCCATGTTGGTATTATCATTGTGCTCTTCCTGGCTGAGGCAGATTGGTCGCTGGCCATTGGATGGCCGCTCATGGCAGCTCATGGCAGCTCACACTGGTTGCCGGCCACTCATGGTAGCTTACAGCAGCCCACTGCAGCCCCACTGCAGCCTACGCCATCGCCAGGGACTCACGGCAGCCCAGCTCCAGGTCAAGCTGTTGTTCACCATCTTAGCTGTAGAGGGCAGTGTCACTGGCTCATGTGGGATCCGAACCGGCAGCCCTGCTGTTCAGAGCTCGCACTCCCAAGCCAACTCTTAACCAACGAGCCACTTGGCCAGCCTGGGGAGTTTTTAATATAGTAAAAACAAGCATTTATTATAATTGCTTTAATTATTATTGTGAGAGTGGAAAAGATTCTTTGAAGGTTTTACAAATACTGTGGTTCAAAGACACTAATGTAGTACCTGACTTGGAGCTCACACTTGGGCAGCTATAACAAGATGGCCCTTGCTTAACTATCCAGCAGGGACCACACACATTTTTGAGACTATTGTGACAGGAGGGTGGCTGCAGTGTGTATCTCATGATGTACCAAATAGCACCTTAAAGGTCTTTAATTTTGTTAGGCTTTAAACTCAGAATAAACTGGTACAGATTTTAAAAGCTTAAATGTAATTTAAATTGTTTTAAATTATAAAAACGATGCATACTCATGATAAAAAAAAATGAGTATAAAACCTGCAAGCTAAAACCAATAGTACTCTCCCAGCTCCACTAGTCCCACTCCCAGAGGGTATAAATATTAGGAATCTTGCTTTTCAAAGTATGGTTTTAAGTGGACATTTCAAGAAAAATAAATTGCAGTTGCTTGAAAAATATTCACAGGCAAACATTTCACTACTATTTTTACTTCCTCTTAGATTTCTGCTCCTAATGAATTTGATGTTATGTTCAGACTGAAGGCCCCCAGAATTGAACTAGAAGAATATTGCAACAGTGGTGCTTATTACTTTGTGAAGTTCAAAAGAATTCCTGGAGGAAATCCTCTGAGTCGGTTTGTAGAAAAGGACAAATTATCAGCATCTTTGATGCTGAATGAGTTTAGGAAAATCATTAAGGATGAAATTAAAAACATTGAAGGTAAGATTTTTTACTTTTGATTCTTTTTAGATTTTTTTATTGGGGAATTGGGGGGATGGGAACAGTGCTGGGGAATTGGGGGAAGGGGAACAGACAAGTTGCTGTCGTTTCGTTCTTCAGTCGTTCTTCAGTCTAGTTGTGGAGGACGTTGCTTCACTGGCCCAAGTTGGCACCATCATTGCGCTCTTCCTGGGCGAGGCAGATGAGTCACCAGCTTCTGGTCGCCCGCGGCTGCTGGCTGCTGGCTACACATGGTAGCCCATGGCAACCCACTGCCACAGGGGCTGCAGCCTACGCCGTCGCTGACGACTCATGGCATCCCAGCTCCAGGTTGAGCTGTTGTTCAGCATCTTAGCTGTAGAGGGCAGTGTCACTGGCCCTCATATATGGGATCCAAACCGGGCCCTCTGGCGTCCCAAGCCAGTTCTTAACCATCGCGCCACTCGGCCGGCCCGACTTTTGATTCTTAAAGTTCTAATCATACGTACTTATTGCCAGTGTACACTACTCTTCTCATCTTCCTTGCCCTCCCGGCAGCACACTGTTGACTACGGCCTTCTAGAAATAACTCTTTGCTCTTGGTTTTAGTCTACTACATTTTCTTGGTATCCTTCCTAAATGTTGATTGGTTCTATTTTGGTCTCCGTTGAATAGTCACTGAACTGCTATACCACTGGGCATATGTGATTGAATAAAATCATGAAATCCCCTCTTGAAACTTGAAGCATGTATTATAAATACAAATTGCAGTGAGTGCCCTACAGTGAACAAACTGAGAGAAGTAGCAAGATGGGTGGTGGAACAAGGCCCTGAGACGGAAAATAGCTTGTCAAGCTCAAAGAACTAAAAGAGGCCCATGTGAACAAGGGGAAGAGTGACCTGAAATGAAGTTGAAGAGGTTCAGGGACCAGATTCGGCAAGGACTTGTGGGTCCTGGAAAGGAGATTTTATTCCATGTTCATTGACAAGCCAGGTTTTAATTAGGAAGTAATGATTGGCTTTGTTTTTTTAAAAGTTTACTCTGGCTTCTATGGAGAAGATATTATAGGAAGGTAAATAAGGAGATTAGAAAGGAAAATATTATGATAGCTCAGATGACAGATGACTGAAGTGCGGGGGATGGAGAGAAGCAGATACATCCAAGATCAGCAGTGCTCACTTCGGAATTAAATGTAGGGGTGAGAGAGGATTGAATTGAAAAAGGCTCCCAGGTTTCTGGATTGAGCCCCTGTGTAGATTGATTGTGCTATTTTCTAAGATGGGAAGGACATAGGAAGAACACGTTTTGGGGAATGAATGAAGAATTTGGCTTTGGATATGTTAAGTTAGAGATTCCTGTGATGTGTTAAAGTGATTGTTTCAAGTATGTAGTTGGATTATGGGTTTGGAGTTCAGAGGATATATTTGGGCTACTGTCAACCTGTAAGTGGCATTGGGAATGAATGAGATCACCTATGCAGAAAGTGTAGATTCATTTATTCAATAGTTTAATCAACATTCGTTGATTATCTAATGTGACAGGTATTCTGGATGTTTAGGATATATTAATGAATAAATAGATGAAGACCTTCACCCTTTTGTATCTTACAATCATATAAGGGCAGGTACAATTATTAACAAATGGAAAAACCTAATTATCTTGTATACTGAAAAGTAGTAAGTCCCATGGTGAAAAAGTATAGCCAAGTGAGCGGGATCGGGAGTGTTGGGGATCAGATGAGGTGGGGGAATTGTAATGTTAAGTGGAGTGGTAAGAAAAGGATCCCATTAAAGGTTGGGGAGAAGAGAAGGAGCAAAAGAAGACTGAGTGTTTTGCAGAAGGAGTAGTTCCGTGTTTAGAATGCTACTGACATCCAGAAAACCGTTGGATTTGGTCTTTGGTTTTGTGCGGATTGTTGGTAAATTTGACTTAGCAGTTTCGGGGGCTCATGAGCACACAAGAGAGACAGGGCAGAGATGTAGAAATAGCATGTGTAGGTAATGCTTCAGAAAGTTTTGGCTGCGAAGGAAGTAGAAAGATGCGCAAGTGTGAGGAGGAGGTGGCAGGTGAAGGGTCAAAGGAGATGTATATTTTATAATGAGAGACACTGGAACGCTTTGTATGCAGATAGGATAGAAATGATCCAGCAGGAAGGGGGAGGCCACTGATGCAGGAGAAGGAACAGTTGAAGGAGCAAGGTGCTTGAGAAGGCGAGGGTCCAGAGGCCATGTGCAGGGGTGGCCTTTGAAAGATGGTAGACACTTCCTCGGTGGTACTAGGAAGAAGGATATAATAGGTAAGAGGGATAGGTCTGCAGATTTGGTGATAAGAAAATTAGAGTGTTCTTTAGGATTTCCTCCTTGGTGCTCTATCTTCTTTCTCACTGTGGTCCCTTCCAGAAGTCTTATCTGGGAGTAGTCTTTAACAACTGTTTGTACAACTTCAAATCCCAAAGCCAGTATCTCTAATCTAGAGGCCTTTCCTGAACTTCTGATCACCTTAGCCACCCGCCCAGTGGCCATCTCCACTTGGATGTCCCACAGGCACCTAGAGCTCAGTGTATCTAAAATGAAATTCATCTTAGCTCAACCTTTCTTCCTCCTGCTTATTCTATATTGAGGAACGGAGTCAACATCAATCATTTCCCAGGCTAAATCCTAGGATGGCATTCCAGAACTCCTACCTCCTTCCTTACCTCACAGATTCAGTCCATCTATCAGTTCTGTTGATTTGAACCTGTTTAATTGCTCTCACTTCTGCTACCTTTTTCTTTTTTTAATTTGAATTTTTAAATTTATTTTATTTTTGTATTGGGTAACTGTGTTTTTTCCAGGACCCATCAGCTCCAAGTCAAGTCGTTGTCCTTCAATCTAATTGTGGAGGGCTCAGCTTAGCTCCAAGTCCAGTAGCCGTTTTCAATCTAGTTGCGAGGAGTGGGGGGTGCGGGGGCGCCCAGCCCACCATCCCAATGGGGAATCGAACTGGCAACCTTGTTGTTCAGAGCACATGCTCTAACCAACTGAGCCACCTGGTTGCCCCCTTTTTCTTTTTTTAAAAAAGAAAATTGTGTATATTTAAGATGCATTAAACATCATGATGTTTTGACATACATATACATAGTGATTTCACTATGTATTGCCACAGTCAAGCTAATTAATGTATCTCACTTAGTTACCTTTTTGTGTGTATGTGGTGAGAGTACCTGAAATCTACTCTCTTAGCACATTTCCAATACTCATGATGATGGTATTAATGACAGTCATCATGCTGTACATTAGATCTCTAGACTTACTCACCCTACCTAACTGCAACTTTGTTCCCTTTGACCAACATCTCCCCATTTTCCCCACCTCCCCAACTGGTAACCACCATTCTACTCTCTGGCTATGTGCATACTACTTTTTAAGATTTCATATGTAAGTGAGATCATGTGTATTTGCCTTTTTGTGTCTGGCTTATTTCCTCCAGGTTCATCCATGTTGTCACAAAAGGCAGGATCACCTTCTTTGTTAAGGCTAAATAATATATATACTATTGTATATGCAGGCATACCTCGTTTTATTGCACCCCACTTTATTGTACTTTGCAGATGCTACATTTTGTACAATTGAAGGTTTGTGGCAACCTTGCTTTGAGCAAGCCTGTCGACACCATTGTTCAAACAGGCTCATGATGGTTAGCATTTTTTAGCAATAAAGTATTTTTTAATTAAGGTATGTACATTGTTTTTTTATTTTTATTTTTTTTGTACATTTTTTTTAGACATAATGCTATTGCTTTTTAGTAGACTACAGTAGAGTGCAAACGTAACTTTTATATGCACTGGGAAACCAAAATATTCATGTGACTCACTTTATTGCAGTTGTCTGGAACTGAACCCACAATATCTCTGAGGTATGCCTGTATATACCACAATATCTCTATCCATTCACCATCGACGGACACCTAGGTTGTCTCCATATATTGTGAATAACGCTGCAGTGAACCTGGGGTGCTCCTTGTCTTGATGCGCACTGCCTCCGTGCTACCACAGGCACCCATCATCCTGTGGTCTTTTGTTTTTCTCCCTCACATTGTCCTCTGGTCTTCTTGATCACCTTGCTCCTCCCTGCTGCTCATCTGGTCTCTTCTCCAGGCTTCCTTCCAAACTCCCATTAATTAATTTAAATGAAAATTTAATCAAAGCACTCCCAAATCCCAAAATCTTAAGGGGCTCCTCATCATATATGCCAGACAGAATCTTGACACTGCTTCCCCGCCATGATAGATTTCAATAAATATCGGTTAAATGAGTAAAACACTTTGCCTTGGGGATCAGTTTCCGCTTCAGAACTAATTTTCACCTTAGCACTTTATAGATCTCCAATTATAGTTATTTTATTTTCCATATATTTTTGAAAAAATTAGATTGATAAATGCTTTCTTCCCTTTTATATGTTTAAACAGATACAGATGTCATTTTGGAGAGGAAGAAGCTCGGGTGCCCTGCTGTAACACTTCTTATTAGAGAACCCAAAGAAATATCTGTGGATTTAATCTTGGCTTTGGAAGTAGAAGGCAGCTGGCCAGCTAACACCCAGGAAGGCCTACCTGTCAATACATGGCTTGGAAGAAAAGCTAGGAATGATCTAAAACTAAAGCCATATTATGTGGTACCCAAGCATGCAAAGGATGGCAATAGTTTTCAAGGTATCTTGAATGTGAAGGTTAATTTAAAGACATATAAAAGATGCGTTAATCGCTTCTTGGCCTTTTGGCTAAGATCAAGTGTAGTATCTGGTCTTATCCGTTTAATATCTGATACATCCTCTATCCGAGGACAATATATTAAATGGATTTTTGGAGTTGGGAGATGGAATAGGAGCTTGCTCTGTCCACTCCGCGCGTCTACCTGGTATTGCAGTACTTCCGGGAACGGTGCACCAAAAAAAAAAAAAAAAAAGATGCATTAATGTTACATACTGGGGAAATAAAAAATTGCTTTTGGCATTTCAAGAGCCGTTAGGCTAAATAGGCCCAAGATGGGAGTTTGGTGAGAGATGGACTTGAAAAGGGCATAGTCGTAGTAGTGATAGCAAATACTTAGCTTTAAAATGTCTACTAACTCACATTTGAATGTTATCCTTTTGGTTTAATTTTAATAAAGAAGGGCGGTACTGGCTTTGGAGTCAGACTGCTTAGGGTCTGAACCATGTGGCTTCTTCTCCTACTAGCTATGTGATCTTGGGCTAATTACCAAGGCTCTCTAAACCTGTTTGCTCACATGTACACTAGGTTAATAATCAAAGCTACTTAAAAGATTCTGGGAAGATAAAAATGAGACATATGTAAAATCCCTAGTTCAATTTATGGCAGTTATATATGTAGTCTGACAATTAAGTTCCCAAACTTGTTGCAACAATGTTGCTAACCTTTTTTGATATCAAAGGGATTATTCTTATGAATTTGTACCAACTGGATAAACAGTTAACCAGGTTTACTATTTGGAAGTGCTGAAAAGGCAGCGTGAAAAAGTTAGACGACCTGAACTTTTCACCAACAGTTCATGGCTCTTGCATCACGACAATGCACCAGCTCACACGGCACTGTCTGTGAGGGAGTTTTTAGCCAGTAAACAAATAACTATTGGAACACCCTCCCTCCTCACCTAACCTGGCCCCAATGACTTCTTTCTTTACCTGAAGATAAAGGAAATATTGAAAGGAAGACATTTTTATGACATTCAGGACATCAAGAGTAATATGACCACAGCTCTGATGGCCATTCCAGAAAAAGAGTTCCAAAATTGCTTTGAAGGGTGCACTAGGCACGGGCATTAGTGCGTAGCTTCCCAAGGGGAGTACTTCGCAGATGACTGTAGTGATATTCAGCGATGAGTTATGTAGCACTTTTCCTGGGATGAGTTTGCAAACTTAATTGTCAGACCCCAAATTACTATGATCATCAGAGCCTGGACTCTCATTCCCAACCATATTTCTCTCTTTCCTTCACCTTCCACTGCTCCCCATGCAGCTAGAAGATCTTTGCAGCCTTAGCTGCAGTGGCACACAATGATTAGATCTCCTTCTCGCCTGTGTACTCCAGCCTCAGGTCAGGACAGGTTTTCAGGCAGTGTTCTTGGGTAACAGTCAAGTTCTGAGAACTGGGCCAAGTTAGTCTATAGATAAAACTGAATAATGGTGATGTTTTCTCAGCTGGCAGAAAAAATTAGCTGATTATTTTCTTTTTCTCTCATAAAGTTAATAAGGATTTTTGGTACTTACTACTGTTGGACTCCAGGGAAATTGAAGGAGGCCACAGAACAAATGAACCCAGTTATAAATGAGTATTACTGAACAAATCCCAGAAATAGTCAGTCATGCTTAGATTGATGGCTTGTGTTTTTGTGGACACACACCATAACTTGGTATATTGCATATATAACTGGTATATGTATTTTCTGCAAGAAAAGTTGTTTGTAAGAGGGAATTGCATGTATCATTATTCATGGTTTTGTAAAAGGAACATAGCTTCCTGCAATGCGGAGTTGCACCCCTGCACAATTTCTAGAATGGCTGCCCCAAGAAACCCTTACTGTATGTGATACAAAAATCTCAACAGGAACCATACCACCTTCTTGCTGGCCCTCTAACAAACATCTTGGGAAAGATTGGGAAACAAATCAGTTTAGAGATAAGAGTTTTTCATTGGCCCTGTGGCTGTACAAAAACCAATGTGGTTGGATAGTTCCTCACATGCTTGTATTAAGATGAAAGTGGAGGCTGGTGAGGGGTGCTCAACTGACCTTTGCTCTCTGTTAACCCTTAACTGTGGTTCTCCATCCCCATTACTCCAGATTATCTATATTCAGGCAAAACCCTACGCGTGTGTGTCTGTGTGTGTGTGTGTGTGTGTGTGTGTGTGTGTGTGTGTGTGTGTGTGTGTGTGTGTGTGTGTGTGTGTGTGTGTGTGTGTGTGTACATGTACCTGAGTGACTGAACAAAGGGGCAGATTAGCAATGAAAATACTTGGACTAGATTGAGGACACTTATAATACCTGTTTTTGCTTTTCTCTTTCTAAACATTTTACTAGGAATTTTCCTTGTCTCAGAAGATGTATTTTTTTAAAATATAATTTATTTGATTTTTAATTTAAAATTTGAAAAAATTTTAAAATCTTTCTACCTATCCATTTCAAAATAATAATACTAGTATTATAACCAAGAGTATAATTATTAAAAAAAAACAACAGTTGAAGATATCTTTACAGTTGAAGATATTCTTTTATTCTTATGGTAAAAGAACAAAGTACCAAGCTTATCAAAATATCAAGTTTAAACTCACTTGAAAAATTTCTCCAGCTGGTTAAGCTGCCTAACTCAACATAATTAAATTCATTTGTTTCATTATGGTTTCTAGTTTTAGATACTGGACTTAAATATTTTATTTTGTTTTATAAATTTATAAAACATTCACATGGTTCTAAAGTCAAAGCTAAGAAAAAGGTGCTCTTAGAGAAACATAGCCTCCATTCATGTCTCCTTTGCCATCTTCCCTCCTTCCCTGATTGGAAATTCTTGTTTTTAGTTTACCTTTCACTTTAAAAAAATATAAATAAATACATGCTACCCCCTTTTTTAAGATAAAAAATATACCTTCCTTTTTTCACTTAATAAGATATCTTGGCTATTACTCCATAACTATGTAGAAATAGCACCCATTCCTTTTTACAGTCTATTTTTACAGCTGGTCAAAGAGTAAAGCCATATGTAATTTTGCTAGGTATTGCCAAAATCGCCTCCATAAGGAATTGTTCTATTTGCATTTTCACAACAATGTGCAAAGTACATATTTCACCCTCAGCCTTATCAACAGAACTTGTTAAACTTTGGAATTTTTGCCAATAATTCAGTAAGTGAGAAATGACATCTTAATGCAGTTTTAAAAAATAAACTTTTAGTTTTAGAATAGTTTTATATTTACAGAAAAATTGCAAAAATGGTACAGAGAGTTCCCATATACCCCATACCTATTTCCCCATTATTAACATTTTACATTAATTTGATATACATTTGTCACAATTAACGAACAGTACATTTGTCACAATTAACGAACAGTGTCAACAAGCTATTGTTAACTAAAGTTCATGCTTTATTCAGATTTCCTTAGTTTTTACCTAATGTCCCTTTTCGGTTCCAAGATCCCATGTAGGACACCACATTACATTTAGTCATCCTGTCTCCCTAGGCTCATCTTGACTGACAGTTTCTCAACCTTTGCTTGTTTTTTTTGCTTGTTTTTTTTTTAAGATTTTATTGGGGAATTGGGGGAGGGGAACAGCGTTGGGGTATTGGAGAAGGGGAACAGACAAGTTGCTGTCCTTCTGTTCTTCAGTCTAGTTGTGGGGGATGCCGCTTACTGTCCCATGTTGGTATTGTAATCATTTTGCTCTTCCTGGATGAGGCAGTCGGTCACCAGCCTTTGGACGGCCGCTCACAGCAGCTCACACCGGCTGCCGGCTGCTCACGGTAGCTCACGGCAGCCCACTGCAGTCGACTCCATCACCAGCCACTCACGGCAGCCCAGCTCCAGGTCGAGCTGTTGTTCACCATCTTAGCTGTAGAGGGTGCAGCGTCACTGGCCCATGTGGGAACCGAACCAGAGGCCCTGCTGCTCAGATCTCGCTCTCACAAGCCAACTCTTAACCAACTGAGCCATGCGGCCAGCCCAGCCTTTGCTTGTTTTTGATGACCTTGACAGTTTTGAGGAGTACTAGTCAGATCTTTTGTAGAATGTCCCTCATATGGCCCATATCTGGTGTTTTTCTTGTGATTAGACTGGAGTTTTGGGTTTTGGCGAGGAAGACCGACAGGTAAAGTGCCGTTTTCATCACATCATATTTAGGGTACATGCTGTGAACATAACTTAGCACTGTTTATGTTGACTTTGATCACCTGAGTGAGGTAGTGTTTGTCAGGTTTCTCCACTGTTACTCTCTCCACCACCTTTTCATACTGTACTATTTCATAGGAGGCCACTGTGCACAGCTCACACTTAGGGCGTGGGGGGTTATGCCCCACCTCTTTAAGGTCAGAGTATTTACACAAATTATTGGGAATTCTTCTCCATGGGAAATTTCTCTCCTCCATTTATTAATTTACTTAATAATTTATATCAATATGGGCTCGTGGATATTTGTTTTGTATTTTGGACTGTATTCCAATACTACTTTATTAATTTTATTGCTTCAATTGTTCCAGCTTTGGCCTTTAGGAGCCCTTTGAATTAGCTCCTCTGTCTTTTGGACATGCCCCCCATAATTGTAGGGTTTTTTTGTTTGTTTGTTTTGTTTTGAGCACTAACTCACATTCTGGCACTACAAGATGCTCCACGCTCATCTTGTATATTTCCTGCATCTGTCCTAGAATCAGCCGTTTTTTCCAAGGAACCCTGGATCTTTTTATTGGAGAATGTACTAGAAACCAAGATCTGGATTCTATGTGTATGTGTGCCCTGTTACTAGGGAGCCAACCCTCTCACCTGAAGAAACAAGGAATTATATATATGTTTACTAACCTCAGTGTATACACATATCTATAAAGATTTTTTATTAACCACCTGTATCTGTATTAAGTTATACATGAGTTTATACTGTCTCTAACTATAATCCATTGCCACATGGATCATTCTTTTTCTCCTTGCTATCTGTA